CCCCAAAACCCCAAAACCCCAAAACCCCAAAACCCCTTGATTAATGATTTTGTGTATTAATGAAATAAATTAAGCTAATTAAGAATTCTAATTCAATTGTCTCATTCAAGCATTTTTATTTTTATTCTTTTTCTTTAGTGCTGAACTTAAACTCAGGTTATCACCTTAACTATCAATTTCCTAGATTTTTTCTTATTTTTCCTTCATTTTATCCTTTCTCTTACTCTAATTCCCACTATTAAGAGCATCCTAAACATCGTTTCCTATTTAAGAAATTCTTACTTCTTTCTTTTAAACTGATTTATCAATAGATTACTGATTAGTTGATTTAGCTTTTTTATTGTAATTCTATCTAAGTATCTCTACCACCTCTTGGTCTTCAACAATATCATCGTCATCGTTTGTTTGATTTGTATTTTTATCATCATTTCCTAAGAAATTTTGCAAGAACTATTATGCTGTTCTCTCATTTTCTTGCTAGAGTGATCTTTTATTTTTACTATTCAAGAAGTCTAAAATTTCTTGGTTATTTCTATTAGCAAAGGCTTCTCTAATTATTTTGGTAATCTCTTTAGTCTTAATTAATGCGACTTTACTGCATTTAATGATAGTTTATGGGTCTGCCTCAAGGCATCCTAATGAACTCATACCACATAAATCTTCAAAAATATTCATGCATATCGATAATCTAGATTTTGCAAGCTTTTCTTCCTTTGCATTAGCATCTATGATTGGATTTTCTATTCCATCGATAAAGAAAAAAGTAGTGCAAATAGGAATATGATGCACATTCAAATATTTAACTTTTTCTTCGTTGATTTTTATCCTATCTCTAGTAATAGTTACTTCTGGAAGTCTAGTATTCATAAGACTCAAAACACTGGCTATAAAGCAGGCATCCATGATGTTTCCATCTTCATTTATCAAGTAAAGATCTACTGATAAACTCCAAACAAGGCGACCCTAAACAATACAAAGAGATTCTCTATCAGTAGCTCTCGATGACTTTAGTACTTTATCAATAAATCTTGTGATGTCAACTCTCATTTCTGATAGTGTATTTATAGATGAAGTGTATTCAGCAGCTTATTATAAACTGCTAAATTCGGTATTAAATCTGAAGAATCCCTCATTTGGTTTGCCAGGTTATGGAGTGACTAGTTTAAGTGATGATTAAGTAAGAATCTAAGTCTTCCCAATTTTAAGTAAAACTTAACCGTTTTCCTGTCCGAATTTTACTTCTATTGATCTATAATCCTGAACACCTCTAGCATCTACTCTAAAATTCGACTTGATTGCCTCTTATAGGAAATCTCTCTCATTTATACTAAAACTTGAAAACATTTTCTCTATTAATTATAAAATAATAATGCATTGCATAATTTACTTATTCAGCATTTTGGGGTTTTGGGGTTTTGGGGTTTTGGGG